TTAGTATATTAATCATTTATATTCATCACTAGCAAACACCAGGCAACTTGACTAAATAAGAAGATATTAGCTATAATAATATTAAAGAATATCAAGTATTTAGGAAGAAATTTGATAAAATATGTCTAAGACCTTTATGAAGAAAATTTTAAAACTTTAACATTGGTATCTTTTTTAAAGTTGGAAAGTTATATCACATTCAATCAGAACAGGCTTCATATTTAAAAGACTTAGCTCATCCCAAACCACTCAGCAAATTCAATGACTTTAATCAAAATCTCCAGAATTTTCATGAAAGTTAATAAAAGAATCTATAAAAAATGTTTTGAAAACCAAGAAGAATGAAGCTAATGTCAATAAGAGTACAAATAGATTGCTTACTCTAAAAAACATAATTTATGTGAAGCTCCAGACAGTATGTATCTCTACTGTAGGATTAAATTACCAAATAAAAAATAGAACCCAGAACAGAGTCATACATATATAAAACTTGATATAAAACAAAAGGGTGATAGCAGTAAAATGGGTAAAAGAAGGGCTAGTCAATAACAGAGCTGAAAATGGGAAAGAGTGAAAATTAATTTTCTGTTGTGCATTGTACACAAAAGTTAATGCTATATAAAGGAAGATTTTAATGTCAAAAGGAAAGTGCATGAAGTTTTCTCATCTTGCAATATTATTAATGAGTACCAAGTTATTATTTGGTCAGCTCAAATAAATAAAAATTAGGAATACTTGTTCACCAAAGAATTCACTGAGAAAGTAAAAATCTATTAAAATTAGAATTTATTCTTCTCACATATAATAAATTACCACTAATATGTTATATTCTTATAAATAAATCACACAGAAGAAGAAATAAACAAATGATCCAGTGTGAAAATAGGCAAAATATATGCATGAGTTTTCACCAAAGAGAAAGTACATGACTAGTAGATAAATGAAGCAATGCTCAATTGTAGCTATCAATGAATGTAAAACAAGTTCAAAATTAGGCACCATTTTATGCTCACTTAAATTGCAAAAATCAAGAAATCTGATAACACCAAGTGTTGGAGAGAACATATATCCAGCTTTTCACATATAGATTGCTGGTAGTCTTACAATTAGTATAATCCTTTAAAAAAACACAACATATTTCATATTCTAGCTATGAGTTCTCAGTAGTGTATGGTCAAGAACAGCTCCTGGGTACACCAGCAAATATGAATAATATTTATCTTCACATTATTTATAATATAAAAGAGTCCTGAAAACAATTCAAAAATGCATGAGCAGTGGAGAAATAAATCAGTGTATTAATATTTTGGGATTTTAATATGGTAATTAAAATGCATAAATTACTGCAATATGAAATAATATGGACGAATATTAACATTAAAACTCTCAGCTAAAAATTCTATAAGTAACAAAATACTCTGTCGTATAGCTAAAATAATCAAACAAATATACCTTTTAAAGAAATGTTTATAGACACTGGCAGCTGATCTTACAAAAAAGTAACCACCAACATTTCAGTTAGTCTTTACCTCAGACAGGAAGAAGCAGAAGCCAGAAAATTGCAGAAAGCAACATAGGTAGATAGGTCATTATACTTTTAGTTTGTGTGGTTTCATGGGTGTTAATTTTGTCATTGCAGATACATAAATACATAGATAAGCAAATGAACGTGTGGCTCAATGCATGGATGAGGATAGTCCATGTCGTAGACCAGTAATAAAAGTCTGTCTTGAATCAATACTCTAACACTGGTGTCCAAAGGTCGGAAAAAGTAAACGGAAAAGAATGTACAAGAAGCTTCTGTTTGCTTGCTTTCTTCCACTTAAAATTAACCAGGGTGGGTTGGATTAAACAGATTTTAAAATATGTATTAAAGCCAAAGTAGTTAAACTGAGGTAACACTCAGGTACATAAAATTAAAAAAAAAAAAATGAGGAGTAAAGGAAGAGGAAGGAGAAGGGGAAAAAAAGTTTTATCATCATCTATGGAACAGGCTATTGAAAGAGAAATGCTTCTTAATCCATCCTGTTATTCCACAAATATGTATTAAATGCTTGTTATGTTTGAGGCAAAAAACTTAAGTTTTCATGGAGCTTACTTCACAGTGTGAGGAGAGGGATGATATATTTAGTACATACATAAAATGTTGTTCTGCTTACTACATATAGGTGCATATATGTACAAATATGGTTTTACCTAACTCTGTACATGTGGATGGCCTTTAAAATGCCCTAAGGTCTATGACCCGTGATTGTATTAGGTAAGAGGACAAGGGATACTAAGCCTACTAATGAAATTAGGGTCGTTGACCAGATGACTTTAAAATAGAGGTCAACTGGGACTATGTAAGTGAAACCCTTGTAATCACGAGGCTTCTTTAAACATGGAAGAGAGGGGCAGAAGGGTCAGTGTTGATGAGACATGACCTGAGAAAGACTTGACAGGCATCAGTTGTTTTGGATATAAAGAGTCCCTGAGCCCAGAATTAGAGGTAGCCAGTAGAATGTGAAGAGGACAAGAAAACAGATTGTTCCCTGAATTTCTGAAAAGAAACATAGCCTTACCATCAATCCAGGTTTAGCCTGGTGAAACTCATTTCAGACTTCTGAACTTAAGAATGGTAAGATAATAAGTCTGTGATACTTTAAGCCATGAAGTACACATTTGTGCACATGCACACAACTATAGGCGTGTGTGTTTGGGGTGTCAGTGTCAGCTAGTGTTGGAAGCTGTGAAAAAAATCAAGGTGGCCAAAGAGTAATAGACAGGGTTATTTTAAATGGGATGGTAAGAGATGAGGTGATGTTTAAAGAGATGTGAGATCAGATTCCTTTAACACAGATAACCAAAAGAATATTTTGGAAGAGCCACCGGTAAATACAATCAGACATGAGCTTGGCTTGTCTGTGGAACGTCAAAAGGCCAATGTAGCCAGAGGAAAGGGAGCTGGAAGGAAAACTAGGAAATCAGTGTTGGTGGTTACATGGGGGGTGGGTTTATGCTGGCAGGGAGTGGGCATGACAGCCGAAAGGGAGAATTTTATTTTTGCCCTCTCTATTATTATATTTTGGACAAATAATGTGTTACTTTGTACAGTTAGAAAATATCTTACTGTGCAAAGGTGTGAGTAATTGGAAGAGTAAAAGCAGCAAACGTAAAGGATAACAAAGCATACACTGGGAGATTCTCTGGATCATAGTTGATAGAACAGAAAAAAACAGAAAAATGAGCCAGAAGAAATCAAAGTATGTTGTTACTGAAATGTGTTCATTATCTATTTTCACTTCATTATTTGTGGTCTTGGTGATTGAACCAAGGACCTTTCGACTGAGATATATCTCCAGCCCTTTTTTTTTATTTTTATAGACAGAGTTTCACTAAATTGTCCAAGCTGGGATGGTACTAGCAAGCATCCTACCTCAGCATCTCAAAGTGCTGGGATTACAGAGATGTGCCATCACACCCAGTTCTGTTTTCACTTTTTGTATACTTCTATCTCCCGAGTCTATAGAGAAAAGTCAGTAACAAAATGTGTATTTGTCTCTACACATGCACATGAACAAGAATAATATCCCACAGTTGCTAGATACTTGGTGATTTGATCTGAAGGTAAATTCTTAGATGTATGGAATGAGGAAGGCCAGTAAATCACCTACATTCAAATCCTTGCTTTGCATACCACCTGAGGGGTGCTAATGTTGTGAAAATTCAGTTACTTTAGCAATGTGGAGTAAAGAGTATAGTCTGGAATCAGACTGTCTCAGTTCAGACTTTGCTCCAGGACTTACAGAATTTTGGTAAAGTACAATGTCACTAACAGAAATAAGACACAAGACCAATGTTTGTCAGTTAAGTGCTTCATAAATCCTAGCTGCTATTGCTATTGTTTCTCTTCTCTTCTTTTTTGGGGCCCAGGTAACGTATTTTACACACACTGCTTGCTAAAGCCCGACTCTTGCCAACTTCTCCAAATATGCTCTATAAGAGGTCACTCTGAAAATCGTATTTGTTCTGGCCAATTGGTTGCCCCTTTGCTGTGCACGTATGTGTGAAATCTCCATATTTACCCCTGGAGAATGGAATGTAACTCAATTGCATTAGCTAGAATCTTCCCCTGTGACTATCATTCTGCTTCCAAAGTTAATCAGGACTTTATATGGCGTACAAGAACACAACTTCAACTAAGTGAAAAACTTAAAAGGTAAAAGGTGGTTGTAACTGACTCCTTGGTGGCCTTGAGACTTTCTCTGTGGAATTTAAAGGCATTGTCCTAGATTCAAACGTTTTCAATTTACAAGGTAGGCCATTTCAGGTAAATTTCTCAACTTCCCGAAGTCTTGGTGTCCTTACTCTGCACTGTGCTTGCCAAGTATTTTTCCCTCTTCAGGAAAGTGCCAATATAAGTTAAAGCCCCTTCAATTTTGTAACAATAGCAACAGGACAGTTATTTTTACCAACTTGTAAGTGGGAAGGTTAAATGGCTTTCTGAAGTCATCAACAAGGTCTTTATGCCCAAATTTTTAGTTATTGCAGATATCTTTGTTTGTTTCTTATTTTCTTTCTATATTACTTAAATTCTCAGAATAAAAAAATGCTGTTCTCTAAGACAATATTTAAACAGGTAAACATTGCAAAGTGATTCACAAGACACTAATTTTGTAGGGCTAGAGACTACTTCTAAGAATATTTTTGCATATTACCTATTACAACAAAATCTTTTATTTTAATCACATTTCCATTAAGAACCAAAGAAATCAAAGTATTTCTAATTCTTCAGTATTAATGAACACGCTGCCATCAGAAAAACCACCAAAGAAAGACCTTAATAAGATGTAACGACATTTAAATCAAGAGATGGATCACCTTACTAATATTTGGATTTATGCTTCAATTGAAAATTTGAATTTGAAATATGTTCTTTTTAACAATGGATTCCCTTTTCTATGGAAAAAAGTATTTCATTCTTTTATTTTACTTTGGAATCATGACGCTCATCCCACCTTGAGTGGATCGTAGCATCTTGCTTTCTTTTGCTCTGTAGATTGTGCCTCTGTCGTTTTATTCAAGTGCTGACATTCATCCATGATTGAATTATAGATATAATATTCTCAGTTGTCGTAAGTGGTTGATTTGAATTGTTCACCTACTAAAGCAGAAAAAGTAATTTATTTTACTTTAACAATATGCAATTTAGAAACAAGAAAAGCTCTAAGCTAAATATCAACTAAGGAGTCAATCAGTAATATTTTATCTCAGCCGACTATATTTCTACCACTGTACTAGGTACAGGACAGACAGCCACATATTGTTCTAGCATTAGGGAGATAATAATTTAGTTAGTAATGAATTTATGGGCAGAAATTTGAAACAAGAAGTAAATTTGATAATATAGGATCATATTCTATATGAGCACAGACTCCAAGTTACAGAAATTAAGATTCTATATTACTACATAACCAAGTTACATGATTTACAGAGGCCAATCTTTATGGCTTTACAAAGTACCCACCAGTGGCTTGCATATACCAACTACTAAAAAATGAAGAGAAAAGGTCATGAAATGAATTGGATGCTCTCAGATGGTTTCATAGAGAAGCTACCACTGGAATTAGGCTCACTATTCAAGAGAGAATTCAGAAATATGTAAAAACACAAAGTGTTCTACAAGTATCTCTCAGACCTGCCATGCCTGGCTTTCCACCATTCTGATCTTGCTTTAATTTTGTTCATTTACATTTTAAAGAAAATATATGCACACCAGTGAAAATGCAAGAGATCAGAAAACACAAATGTTCTTCAGCTTGTTCCTTCACTCAGAAATATGATACGCATTTTTAAAATATACTTTTTCTTTGTAGTGCAAATTATGGCATATTGGTAACTCTGTCCTCTTAACTTTTTAACCTGCTGACATATTAATTTTACATTGATAAAGGGCCTCTTTATTTTTCTTACTGTTGCAAGGTATTATTTTGCCTATAATATATATGACTAGAACCACATTAACTAGAAATTGTATAAAAGAAATTATAATTGAGAGACATTAAACCCTTATTCTAAAGACCAGGAAAATGAATTACTTCTTTTAATTCACTATTTTATGGATAAATTGTTTTTCACAGGTTTAGAAAATGTATTCATACTCACATATATGTACACAATATATGTTTATGTTTTTAAAAAATATACATGGAAGCATAAATATATTATTTAATAACATTGTAATTATATGTTTAGTATGTTATGTGTACAGTTAATCCTCACTATTTGTGGTAGTTGTATTCTATAGTTTATTAACAAATGCTGAACCATTGTTTCAAGGGAAAATATGGGGTTAAATTCCTGACAATCTCTGGTCATGACATTTTCATCAATTTACTAATACATTACCTGTTTACATACTGTTGACTTTACTAACATTGAATTAAGAAGCATGATACTGCAGTCTGAACCCAATGGAACATTACATAACACATTTTGTTTGGTCAAACATACTCACATGAAAGAACACTGCAGGAGCACAAAGAGTACAAAAGCTACGTCCACAGAAGACACATCACAAAAAAAGGAAACTTTTTACACCATGCACATTGACACAGGAGGCAGAGGGTCATGCTGCGCAACCTCTGCTGATATCATGGCAACAGAAACGTGTTACCACTGTGTTGGTCCACGTCAATTCCCATGAAAGACCAACGGAACTGATTTCATTGTTGCAAACACTTTTCTAGGGAGTAGGCAAATTTGCAAATACAAACTGCAAGGATCAGCTGCACAAATTACATATTCATTACTGAAAAAGATGTATTGATTATAGTATAAAATTTAAATAGTATAAATATATACTGAATATTTTATAGTGAGTAAATAACAACATTAAAAAACAGAACACTACCACGTATGCTTATGAGTGTATAAAAACATGAATAAATCTGTATCTATGTATAATTCAAGAACCTCCAGTTACTCCAGTTTTGGCCGGCTGCCTGTACCTGAGTGTGTCAGTTCCTGGGCGAGTTGGGTGAGCAGAAAATCACTACTTGTGTAGTTTTCACTTCATAAGCAATCTTTTGACACAATCCCTGCAGTTTTTTCCTATGAATATGTCTTCTGGTATCATTTCTTCCAGGATTAACAAATCAAGAAATCATTTTCTACCATCTTCATCCTATATTTGTAAATCTCTGAATGACTTGCCAGGAGGATAGTTCTCTTTTACCTTTTTCAGACTCTTACCTTTAGACTGTTCTCTCTACCAAAGCAAACATTCCTGAAATCTTGACAGCTATTGTTTCACCATTGCTAACACTGTTTACATTTCACTGGACTAACTTGTAGTTGTTTTGTCTCCTGGCCTCTTGTCTAACCTATAGATATCATGTCTATCCTCAGATTCTTTAAAAGAGTCCTTGTACTACACACACACACACACACACACACACACACACACACACACACACTCATTTATTCTTCCTATTTGAAGATCTTCACAACCTAAACCAAGCTCTTGTTTTAACTTCATTTTTAAATACAGTCACAAACATCTTTAGATATGGAACCACTGTACCAAGAAGAAAACTCTCAGCCCTCTGGAATGTTTCTGCAGAACATGTGGTGTCCTTCTTTGTGTTTTGAGTACACTTTGCACTAAACCTTGCTTCTTCACTATTCTCCCAGTAAGCCACTTGCATTAACCTCTCCCATCCTGATGTTCCACAGAAGAAAATACCTTGGCCACTTTCTTGATGTTGAAAAGCAAAGTTATATTTCTGAGTTCTCAGTTTGAGCCAGGAATTGTGCTGACCACGTTTGTCTCATTTAATTGGAGAAAATATTCCTTTTCCCTCACTAAGTCAAACGTCATTGAAATCGAGAAAGTAGAGGTAGCTAAATGTTTGGCACACATTCTATTTCTCAGTGCTTACCTTTCACTCCTACCCTCCATTAATCAGTTGAGAAATAAGGAGTCTACCCGAATAATTCTATAGAGTTGGTGAAACTTACTGTCCCTGGAGCACAGTTCAGAAAGGTACCCAGAGGTTCACCTTCTCAGACTTACAGCGCCTCTAGTCTAGAAAGTACAAACAGAACTGCAAACTTTATTCTTAAACTAGAAGTGTCTGACCTTCCATAATTTAAGACTATTGAAGCCTGAAGCATATCTGCCTCCAGAAAGGGTAGATGTCGAGAGCTTAGAACATGACTGTAAAGAAGACACAAAGCATAAAATTGGTGGTACGTATCATGACCACTAGAATATTTTTTCTTTGCAATCTGTAGGAATTCCTTACATAGAAGATATGTTGAAATTAGACAGTGTCATGGGTTCTTACCTGAACACTGACTCTCACAGCAGCAAAAACTCCAGCCTCTATCTGTTGCCAAAGTCTGTCTTTAAATTGTAGGATGGCTTTTAAAAAAAACCAATCTAGTGATGATTAACCATGTTGTGTCAACACCTTAAGCAAATAGAAGAAATTATCTAGCTGTTTCTAGTTTACTATAAACTTGCATAGTTTAACATTTGTATTAATGATTTCTCAGAACTTATACATTGCCATATATTAATATTATTTTTTCAAGTCCCTCTTTCTGAAAATGGCTTGCATGTTTTATTCAGTGAGCTTGGTTGTATCCAAATACTTTCTTTAGATGTATAAATACAAAATATCATCCAAGCATTTTGAAAACATTCCAAATGAAACAGAATCCAAAGTACATTTTTAAATATGCCTACAGGTTACATTAATATTTACAAGATAAAATACACTCTTTTTGCTTGGTACAGTGATAGAGCTCTAATATGATGTAGATACTGGATGACCCTGGATGTCTTGTTTGGAATAGTAAATTGACCATGAACTACAATCTGGCTCTGCTAAATGATAAAATCAACACTGCATGATAGATTCTGTTTACACAAAACCTGAAGAAAGCATGGTCGCATGGCTTTCTTCAATCAAATGTCATATGATTTTAGAAAAGGGAAGAGCCTGATGCAGTTGTAAGTTTTTTGAATAGGAATACAGTATAACTAATTTTATAATTCAAATATTTTTTACTTCCTACTCTATCTCCAGCATAGAATTCTGTTTTGAAAGTGTGTTAATATAAATAAGGTATAAACTCTTTTATATCCATGTGTGCACACATGTATGTGGATAGATAGAGAATCAGATAGCTAGAAATACAGATGCATAAATGAAAATATTATTGCTTCTTATCACTCCTGCAGGACAATTGTTGGTACAGCTTTATCAAAATACCAATCCGCACTCAAGATACTCTGATTCAGTAGAACTGAGATATAGTTTTTGTAATGTTAACTTTTATACAGTGCTAGATTTTGAGACCATCATAGCAAAGATCTGAAACATTTTTCCTCACCTATATGGACTTCCATTTAGAGTACATTGACAGTGTGGGTATTCTTACACTGAAAGTTTCCACAATTATTCATTCTATCCAAGGCACAATCTGCTGTGTCAGACAAGTATATGTTCAGAATAAAGAAAACAGTACAAATTAACTGAAAGCCTTTAGAATTCCTAACTAAAGTTGTTAAAGATTCAATTTCATATTGTTTTTAGAGATCAAAGAGGATTTTCCTCCTGTTTCTTTCTCTTTAAATAATTACCCAGCTCTTCCTGTATGACTTGTGGAAAAATAAGAATGATCAGAAAAAAGACATTGCAACAGCTCTTTCAAAATCAGTATTATTCTAATAGCCTTGGATCAGTAGAATTACATAAATTTCCTAAAACTCTACTAATATTTACTTAGGAGATAATCACAGTTCTGATGTAATAATGTGGTCTCTGAAATCTGATACTTTGCTGCCAATTAGTCTCTGCTATTTGCCAGAAGCATGAACTTATTGAACTCTAACCTTTCTGAACTTCAACATCCACAGTTATAATACGAGACCTCACTGGTTGAGGGAAGGCTATGGTTTATATAAAGTGTCTTACATTGTACTTATAGGTTCAGTACCTATTTAGAATCATTGTATGACATTTGTATATTATGAATTTCAGATCAGTTGATTTCTGTTAAATGTATAAAAATAAACCTTCTGGTATACATGTGCTCAGCAGTTTCTCAGGATAGTTTCTGTTCCATCCATCTCAGGTGATGCGGCTCAGAGGGGGACCTTCAGGGTTACACAGCAAAGCTGTCACTGCCTGCCCAGCACAACTCCCTTGGCTGTGGTCCAGAGGAACTCCAGAAAGCTATGCACTCCTGGAAAGAATCCCCTTGTCTTCCTTTTTGCTGCACTCAGAGCTCTCCCATCGTTATGGCTCTAAGCTTATTGTAGCAAGTATCTCTGTCATGTTATTTACCTCTGTAAGAAGGTAGGGAGTTCCTGATCATTAACAATTTCTTTCTAATTCCCACACGGCTGAGTATTCCTGCTCTTCCCTCTCATCTCCTTAATGACTAATCATAAGTAAAATTCCCTTTACCTGCAGCCTTTTCCAGAATTTTTCTGATTCACCTTCTGGCTCTTAAACTTGCCCCTTTCTATAGACACCTCCTCACCTGCAGATGTGACAAATGGCAACTACCTTAGCCCTCCCAGATACTGCTCCAGACCACCTAGACCTGTTTTCTAATTTGTTTCAGTTTGACACATTCTATCCATTTTCCCAGCCTCTCCCTTGAGAATCTCATGTCAAAATCCTTCATTCCACGCACCCCCCAAAAAACCCTTCTTCCTTTATCTCTCTGCTTGCTGGAATCATCTATCAACCCCTTAGACCCTCCCACTAATTTAATGACAGTTTTAACATTTGGTTCAAAGCCTAATCCTCAAAATTCTGCCCCTTTCATAATTATTGGTGACTTCAGTGACCTTGAAGAGAAATCTTCTAACACATGGTCTTCTTGTTTTATTAACCTTCTCTTCTCCCAGGATCTTGGCCTCTAGTCATTCCTATAGACATGTCTTAGACCTTGACACACCAACAACTGGAATGCTCCATAAAATGTCTCAAAGATTGAATCATCGGTACACAGATGCACCAGTGCTTCCCTGTCTGGAATCAATAATCCATACATTGATTTTGCTGTATATTCCACCATTGCTTTTCTATGTCATGTCTTCATTTATCTTTCTATGTGCATTAAGTTTCATGATCATAATAATTCCTCTCTCCCATGTATCTTCAAGTCATTTTTATTTTCTTGCACTGTCTTAATTGCTTAATAAAACATAGCCTTGATTGGATCCAACTCTTTGACTTCTTTGCTCACTTGCCCATGGAGCTGGATGCAGCTGAAGAAAAACCCTATGCTATGCTGATTTTAAATTGATGGGGAGTCAATACTGAAAATGTACATATGAAGTGCTTTCCATCCAGGCTGTAGATGTGGCGTGCTGACAGGTCAGCTAGGGATTCTGCAGATGAAGTATGGTGTAACTTGGAGATAGGTTATGGCCTTGCAGCTGCAGGATGTAATCACATTTTCTGGGCTGTCCCCAAGGGTCCCCAAGCCTATCTGCTCTAGCCACGCAGCCCAGCTCCTCACACTATCAGCTCAAGTGTAGCATGTACTGTTCTCAAACTATCTTTTGGATTTCTCTAAGAGCCTTTGTTCTCTTCATGTACTTAGAACAGAATATAACTTTAAGAAACAGAGTAGTCATGAGCCCTCTCCTGTTGCGGGTCGTCCTTCATCACGTGACACGAGTCATCAGATATCAGCCTCAGTACTATAATTGGGGAACTACGGTAGTGAAGCTCAAGGGTGCCTTTTATTTTGCCTTAGAATCATACTATAGTTTCCAAGTCCACATCATTTTGCTTCCTGCATAATTATTTTGTAGCTTCAACTCTGTCTTTATAGATAGAAGGTTAGCTGGTGTAATTGTACTACTGATGTCTGTCGGTTTATTAAAAGGAACAGTTAATGCTTAAATTTTTTTGACCAATTTTGCATGCTTTTATCTGGTAATCTGAACAACTAATTTGAAGACAGAACAGTATGCAATATAACAACCATTGGTGAATTTGTACCATCTTGTTTAGTGAAGCTCTGTATCATTTCTAGTGTTTCTTTATATTATTTTTTATTCTCCTTAATGGTTTGATCAATCTTGTATTCTTACTTCTGGTAATCTGAGCAACTTTGTTACTACAATGTGTAATATAACAACCACTGTTAATACCTTTCATTTTATTTTGAAACCATGTATCACTTTTATTATTTTTGTGTTGTTTTATTTTTGTCTATGTTGTTGTTATTGTGATTTTTTTATTCTCCTTAAAATAAAAAAAATTTTTTTTTTTTTTTGGCTTTTCTCCAGTACCGGGAACTGAACTCACGACCTTGCGCTTGCCAGGCAGGCGCTTTTGCCGCTGAGCTAAATCCCCAGCCCCTAAAATAAAAATTTTTTAAAACAAGAAAAAATAAAGTTCTAATATTTTCTCCTCTCCTTGTTTTAGCTATTGACCTGTTTCACTGAAACACATGAAGAAAAGTCCTTCCAAGAGTCCTCTGCTACACCTACCTACCAGCAGTATCAGTCCCCAAACTGCAGCTTGATGAGCTGCCTGCATATCAGCGAAGGCCAGCTTCTACTTGTGCGCTCAACTGCCTCCTTCTCTTGGGTTTGCAAGGTTATAAATTTTTCCCTTATTTAAGATTTACTACAGATAGATCCCCAGTAAACTTGAAAAAGACCTAGAGACAGACAGATGGTTGGGAGAAGAGGGCAAGGGGGAGTAAAAAATCTAAGATGTATTGTAAATATGTGCTAATAAACATAAAAGACTTCCTACTATACATTCCCACTAGTGTATGTGTTCTGTGATTTTCTTATCTTCATTCTAATTCACTAACTACCCTAGCTGACCTCTCCTTTCTAAACTTTTTCTATACCTTTGGCTCCTTAACTCCAGCATCTTAGAACCTAACCATTGCATTTTGGTGATCTTACCTGTTTTCACATCTTCAGCACCACCTACATGTTGATAATTACAAAAAATTTATCTCTAGCCGGGGACTTCTTCTGAAGTCTAGATTTATCCAATGCATGATCACTGTCTTCCAGTATTTATTTAACAAATATGGTAAGCTTAGCATTTTCCAAACTGATCTCCTCATCTTATCTTCCCAGATGTGTCCTCCTGGGATGTTCCCATCTCAGTGAATGGTAATTCCATCTCACCAGTTGCACACACCCACAACATACCAGGCACATCCTTGGCTCCTCCCTTCCTCATTCATATTAAGTACCAATTTCAAAATATATCCAGAATCTGACTATGTCTTACCACCCGTGCAGGTATAACATTTTTTTCCTGAGTTACTGTAGTGTTCTCCTATTTATACCTCCACTTTTCTCCTTGCTACTTGCCAACTCTTTTCACCTACATTTCTCCTTCAC